CGTTCAAAACGGACAAGTAGATCAAATGTTATTCAGCCTTAAAGTTTTACAAAAAATAAGCCCTACTTATGAATTTTACAAATGCGCCCATATGTATAAGTGACGCGAATTCACATAGAATAATATTCACATGATTTGCTAATAAAACGTGATGTGATCACTGGCCAATCAAATCAATAGACGAAATTTAGATACAGTATTACATTATTAATAATATCAATCATTTATTATAAAACGCACCTATGGTGGTTTTGCACCTATTATAATTTTATTATTAAGTTTTTTAGATTTTTCTAAGGTTTGAATATAAAAAGTTTTGCATGTTAGCATTAGTACTTTGGGTTAGGGTTAGGATTTTTACTTAGAACATCTTGTACCGATTAGTTAGCCAGTTTTTGGAATAATATACATAGATGTAAAACACCATGGGTGTATTTTAGTGAAAGTCTTATTCAATTATCATACTTCTCGTTAACTCGAAAAAATTGCAAAATGCATACACAAAAACTGGTAGATATTATTATTATTATTATGTTAAAAGTGGTTAAAGCTTATGGTATACGTATTTTTGAAAGGTAATGAATGGCAAAGTATTCACTTTAAGTTTTCAAAAATAGACGTTTTTTGGATCTAGAAGTAATATATGATCTTTTTTATAGTGAAATGTTATGTTCTCAAAAGATACTTTAATGATATAAGTTACCCGGGCAATTCTTTACATCAGCAAATCACACGAAGGTTTTTCTAAAAACAGATAATCATTGTATTTAAAATCTTTTTTCATTAACAGATTATCGTTACTATATAAATAGCAATTCATTTTCTGTATAGTACAATGTTCATAGAATTGACATTGAGAAATGCTGATGTTTATAAAATGTATCAAGTTCGATTGTTATGAGAAAGGAATTAGGGTTAAAAAAATATATAAGACATGTTTCTTCACCATAATTTTTTTTTCTTTTTTATTGTGCGGTTTTTTTTTTTTGAGTAGTTTTAAATAATTTTTTTTTTACGAAAAAACTGGACGGCCTAAAGGTGTTACAGTTATAGATGCCTGGCGAAACTAATTTTGCCTTGAAGAAATGACGAAACCATAAGTTTCGTCAAGTTTCGTCAATGACGAAACTTATGGTTTCGTCAAGTTTCGTCATTTCGTCAGGCATCACTAGTTACAGTCTATACAAGGCTTGAAGAAAACCCTGCTGAATTTCGGGTTGAAAAGGAAATCTTATTTTGCAATTTTTGTGATCATTCGTTAGACTGGAAATGAAAGTCAACTATTGAATGTTCATTTTAAAAGTAAAGGGCACATTTCTAAAAAAAACTTTTTAATGAAAATAAGGAGTGATTTTTGTCTTTGCGACTATTTGTTTACTTTTTTGTTTACACAAGTATAGTCGCATCGCAGACAAAAACATTCATATCTCATGATCTACTGGACCGATTGTAATGATTTAACTGCCATTATGACCGGAGCTCTCTCCTCTACAACTTTTACTTAACATAGAAGAGAGGTTTACTTGATAGAAAATCGATTTATTCTTGGAGAAACTTCAGATTCCAAATAGTAAAGTTCTCCACGGTTTGCTATGTTTTTTTTAGGCGGATCACGAATTAATTTTTTTCTTTATTATTTTATTTATTTATTTTATTATTTTAAAGATGAATAAAACAAAAGATGAATTCAGTGTTGTCGCAGCCTGGAGTCTAATCACAAAACATGAGATCTCTCTATATTGCTGTTTCTTAGGTCGCTTAGAACTTTTACATATGAAGATGCGATTGGATGGATAGATTATCTGATCTGTATGTTCAACAAACTAGTTGGATAACATACAAAAAGTTGATGGTGATGATTCTAATTATATAAAAAGTGCGTGAGCCATCATCACCGTTGCACTCAAGATGTTAGTCAGGAAAACAATAATGATTTATTAAAAGTAGTTAGTTAATCTATTGCTTTTATCTAATAGCTTATTAAACTAATTCATTCATGGTTTAAGCTTTAAAAGTCTTATGGAATGTAAACTAAATTATAATAAACTCGTAATATATGGAATAACCCAAAATACAAAAAACAAATGAATACTTGATGGTATTTCAGTACGCTAATGATGGAATTCTTCATAAATATTTAAGAAAAAATTTTAATAATTTTACATAGCAAATTAAATTGCAAATGCTTAAAGATACTTTATATGAGCTATTTCTTCTTCACAGCAGTAACTACTAAACATGTGATCCTTGCACTACCTACAGCAGCTACGAAGCATAAACACAAAATAAATTTTATTAAATAAAAATTTTATTTTCCGCATATTAAACTAATTTTCCGCAAGTAAAATGTAATCCGCAGATTAATATTAAACACTGTGTGACATATACCAATACATCATCGCATATTTTCAATGATATTCTTTATCAAGATTGGCATCGTGCGAGATTCGTATTGCGTCTTGAAAAGATCGTTCAAAATCAATTTGTACTAGGGATCATCTCAATTTTCTGATTTTCTGTCAATATAAATAGCGATAGTACAGTCGATCATTATTTATTTGTCTAAACTTAAAAAATGACTGATAAAAATTTTATTGTTGGTGCAATTCTTTACCCCGATTATGACCTTTTAGATTTTAATGGTCCAATTCGTTTTTTAGGAATATTAAAAAAGTACGAATTAGATATAAAGATAATTACAATTTCTCAACATGGAGGAAATGTTGAATCGGAAAGTCAATGTTCTAATTTCTCGAATTATTCTTTCGATGAATGTCCCAATTTTAATGTTCTGTTGGTACCAGGTATTTTAAATACCATATATTTATTATAACCTTGCGACATATATGAAGTTTGATGTACTTTTCAATTTTTTTATAAGGTGGTTTTGGAACCAGAAAAGAGATTGATAACTCAGTCCTGATAAATTTTATCGATAAGTGGATTCCAAAAGTAGAATATGTTATGACGGTTTGTACTGGAAGTTCTTTGATAGCAAAAACAGGTGAATGATTTTCTTTCATTATAATCGTATTTATCTTGTTATCAAATTTTAAAATTTTTTTTTCTTTGTTTCATATGATGTAAATTCACAGGCCATTTAGATGGTAAAAAAGCTACTTCAAATAAGATGGCATTTAAATGGGTTACCTCTCATGGTTTGGTATCGGATCCTTTGTTTATTTGTGATCATTATTAATATCGTGTTTAATAATTGAATATGTATCTAAACTTTTAGGTCCAAAGGTAAATTGGATTAAACATGCTAGATGGGTAGCTGATGGAAAATTTTATACATCAGCTGGAGGTAAATATATGATTATAGAGTTATTCTTCACATTATATTCTCTATAATCATATATAATCATATAATTGATATATTTCTTTTTTTTTTCATCAAAGTATCCTCTGGTAATTAAATTTTTTTTTTTGTTTGTTAAATTATGGAATTACTTGTTATTATTTAACAAATTATTATCGATAGGGATGGATATGGCGCTTGGTTGGATTTCTGATGTATTTGGAGAAAAATATGCAAAGAATGCAGCTCTTCACGCAGAATATGAATGGCATTCTGATCCTTCTTGGGATCCTTTTTCTGAAATGGAACTAGATTCCTCTGATAAATACGACGTGGTTAGTTAACATCACAATTCTATGTAATTTATGTGATTGCATTTTTCTTGACATTAAGATAAGCTAATCAATCTGACTTTATTTCGCAGAATGTCACTTAATAATATTTTATCGACCATAGTTTATTCAAGTGCCAATTATTCTTCGTATCAATCCAATAATTAAGTCAATTATTAAAATATGCGTGTGATTTTGTTTAACAGATCTTTCGAATTTGCCAAATAAATTTTATTGCACTAACTTTAAATTATAATGTGTTTTCTGATGAAAGAATTAATTTTGAAGTAATTAATTGAAAGTATAGGAAATACTCTGTTTTAGAGAATTAAATTTATATTGATCTAAGGGGATCAATTAATTATAACATTAATGATTTGATTTTAAAATCATCTCGGCTTTATATTATTTTAATTTATAAAAAACTTGTATTTCTTTTGTACGTATGTGTATTGATATAAAAAGTTATTTACAATAAGTCAAACTATGATACTTTTTATTTATCGAATTGAGAAGATAACAATACTATATAGAATCTTCAAATATGAAATTGGTCATCTTTGAACCTAATTAAGCAATGAACTTAATGTTAATGGATGTCACGGCTGATGCTGAAGTTTTGACCTATTTTGATATAAAATTTAAAAATTTTTTTTTTTGGATGTTTTTTTCGTTTTTTGTCTCATAGGGTTAGGGTAAGGTTTGGATGTAGATTTCATTTTATAAAGTATATGTGGATTTTAGCAGGGCTTATAGTTTCAAATCAAGACCCCAAAACTTCAGCATCAGCTAACTTTCAACATCAGCAGTGACACGTAATAATTGGCAACATCGCAAATGCTACTAAACAAGACATTTATAAAGAAAAATACATATTAGTCTGATATTACAATATTAAAACATCAGACCTTTATAGTAAATTTTGAATTGTTACGTATAACTTTTTTAAATAAAAATTTCTCTTCCAGTTTTGTTATTTTCTATCTAACTAACAAATCTGAAAGAGAGTGAGATTTTTAAAATTTTAATTTTTAATTAAGTTATAATAGTTTAAAATATATAACTTTTAGAAATTTGGCGTTTATATATAATTTTGATTGCTAATATTTTTTAATATAGAATTTATTATAAAGATTTTTTAAAATTTGGCGCTTCATGGAAAAAAGTTGATATCTTAAGTTGTCCCGCATTGTAAAGAATAATAACCTTTAAATCAACTAATAATTTCTCTAATAAACCTTGTAAAAATTTTATAAACGAAAAAAATTATATCCATACATATCATGTGATTAGGTGTATTACGTATGAGTATTAAACAGTCATAAACCTTTATATAATTAGTATTGATGATCTTCACGTTACGATAAGGCTCAATGGTCTAGTAGTATGATTCTCCGTTCGGGTCGGAGAGGTCCCGGGTTCAATTCCCGGTTGAGCCCATTCTTTTTGAATTACTTGTTTACTATATAATTTCAAAACTCTGCATACCTGTTTTTTTTTATTGATTTTTTGAATTTGATAATTGTTTTTTGTATTATCAAAGTATTAACAACCTTAATAATACATAATTACACTATCGATATTTGTCTATTCTCTTGTATGTACTTTGTAACAAGATTTTGCATGACAGTGCTATAAAAAATTCGAATGAGAAATATACCTACGTACAAAATTTTCCAATTCGATAATAAATATTCCTCGTCTCGTTATGAATTGTACGACAATTTATATTATATGAAGGTTTGGGTGTGATATTTTGCACACAAATGATCATGTAATCTCGTGACAAAAAATCTCGATAAAAAAAGAGTTTTGTTATTACACACTTTGGTAACAACATGTAATATGTCACATGTTCAAATATAGATTATATATAGTAAAAAAATGTGTAATTAATTTCTAAAAAATTTACTATGAAAATTTATATTAATTATGTTAAAATAATGTTCTAAAAAACAGCATAGTAAACAATTTTTATAATGTAAACTTTTCATAACATGAAACTTTTAAATAGATCCGATCGGCCGACTTTTTTTTAAAAAAAAATTATAAAATTTATATAAAAATTTTTTTTTTAAAACTCACCCGGTTATTACAGCTGTTTTCATAAATACTGAGAATCTGGCAAAAAGTTGACATTGACTGACCGAATAAATTTTGATTCGGCAAAATCACAAACTTATCGAATAGGCAGTCAATCCTTACAGATGCTCCAAAATTTATGAATAGCTGTAAAATATATATAAAAAAATTTTTACAGCTGTTTTCATTATTTTTGGGACATTTGAAAATTAGTTAATAACCGAATCGATAAGTTTTTGTTGTCAGCCGACGGTAGTAATTTATTGACACAAACTCGGTAACTTATCAATTCTGCTGTCAAAAAATTTTTCAGATGTCCCAAAAATAATGAAAACGGTTGTAAAGGTTTCCTAATTTTGACCCGGCCGGGTTATGAAAATCGATTACCGTAATTTGCGGTAAATAGTACCCCTTGTTAGTGTACCTGAGTTTAATCAAGTATGTATGTAAACATGATAATAAAAGACCTGGGTATATTGGTGACTTAACTTTCGCTGTAATTTTATTAAATGGTTGGTCAACCTAATTGAATTTAAAATAACCCTTTTACACGAATCTCCCTCATAAAATACATGACAAAGTACCCACCAGATACTAATCAAGATTTTGCCCCTAGGAATGTAAGAGACCCGGGGTACTATCTGCCGCAAATTACGGTAATTAATTATGCATGGCCTTCTTAAAGCAATTCATTTGGTACTTAACGCACTGTTATTATATCTCAAAAATTGTAAAGTAATTACTGTAATACTTGGTATCTTAAATAAAAAATAATCAAAATTCTTAATTAAATTTTGATCTTTAATAATAATTTTCACTTTAATTTATCCTTTAAACTATAATAGAATTTTGCAGATAAATTCATTGTTTTGAATCCAATCTACCCCACAATATCGCCGAATATCATAAATAACTCCATCTTGAAGATGCAATGCATTTATAACCTTGTGGAGCTCTCCTAAAAATTTCTTGCATAAATAAAGGAGCAACCGTTCAGTCTAAAATAAGTGCTGATTAAAGATTTTATTATATGAGTACGCACATCTATTACATTATAAGGAAATAATTACAGTAAATAATTAAATAATTCATAATTGTTTAGATAAAATAATATCTTTTAAACTTACTTTTTATAATCCTTATGTAATAGAAAAAATTTCTTTAATCATTCTCCTTGATTTTAGATTCCGATTTGGCTATTTTGAAGGAGCTTTATACAAACTTTGCGAAAACCTCCACAATTTGCTCATTTTCATTTGCAAATAAAAAAAAAAAAGATAATAATTAATCAATATAAACTGAACAAAATAAACTCATTATATTTTATTAATAGTCGCCCGTCCGGTAACAGGCTAATCATGCGGTTGAGCACATGATGTTTGCAAGCAACTATTCTTGTGTTGAACAGTCGGGAAGAGTGGTAACCTCTTGCGACCACTGACACCCTCCTAGAAGTCGATTCATTCCGCAATCTCTTTTCTTACACGTGTGCTGAGCACAGAAGATTTACATGAAAATCCTAGAGCATTATCCAATCTGTCCATCGACATCAAGTTGTCCAATCAAGTAGGCTGCCCTTCGTGTTGAATTGCCGGGTAGGGTTATAAAATTTATGTAGCTCTATATATATAAATGTTATGTAGTTAAAATTTTTATATATAATTCGATTTAATATTTATACGTATAAATTTATTTAATAATAATATATATGTATATAATTTATTTGGCTATCATTCAAAAATCCAATCTGTCCATCGACATCAAGTTGTCCAATCAAGTAGGCTGCCCTTCGTGTTGAATTGCCGGGTAGGGTTATAAAATTTATGTAGCTCTATATATATAAATGTTATGTAGTTAAAATTTTTATATATAATTCGATTTAATATTTATACGTATAAATTTATTTAATAATAATATATATGTATATAATTTATTTGGCTATCATTCAAAAAGTGGCTAAGGTTCATTGTTCGGTGTACTAAGTAAAAAATGTTTAACGTACTGGAAAATCCCTAATTTTAAATTTAAAATCTAATAAAAAAAAATTTTGTAATATAGTCAACTCTCTCTAAACTGGCACACGTTAAACTGAATACCATTTTATTTCTCTCTAAATTGAACAAAAAAGCTCTAGAATATTTGCAATTTTTTTATTAATAAGTTCGGATTTGTTGAGATATAATAACTCTTTGAAAATTGAACATTTAAAAATTTTTATATAGTAAAAATCACACAGACCAGCTAGCCGGAATTAAGCGAGTTGACTGTATATTTATTCTATATATAACTTATATATATATAGAAATATATATAGACTTATATAAATAACTAAATATGTAAATCTGCATTGGGTTTCCTGACGCTTGAAAATTATATTATATTTGGACTAGAGGTGCGAACTATAACCTGTAGTTTATTGTAAACCTGTAGTTTAAATAAACTACAATTCTGCAGTTTATTTATAAGATTGTAATTTACGGATCATCTCTAATGTGAATATATGAAATTTATTAGTTTTTTTTTTTAGATAACGATCGATAATTAATAGTTATATATAATAATCATCGCAAATTAATAGATGCACAGCCCTAACGGTTCGATAGTTTTGGATAAATTTTCGTAAAGAACACTATACGTCTCTACAAGCTATAGAGCTATTTCTTTTATTTAACATGGAAGAATTTTGATATACTGTGAATTTTTTCTGGGGTTTTTTTTTAAAAAAAAAAAAAAAAATAAAACAAGAAGCAAGAAAGTCTCTCTTCTTATAAAGAAATGGCTCACTTTGTTTGTAGACGTAATAGTGGTCTTTACGAAAATTTATCCGAACTGTTAGGGCTGTGCATCTATTTAAATTTGAATAATATAATAATTATTATAATTATTATATATATATAAGGTTATTCATTATCGATCGCTAACTAAAAATAAAAATAAATTATCATTTTGATTTACATAATTGCGCCATGTTCCCGAAAAAAGTACTTTAAAGTGTATAAATAAGTTATTATGGACAATTGATTCAATCAGACGAATGTCCTTCTATTAGGTTATAGAATGATAAATTTTCTATATGGAGGTGTTAATAGAAACCAAGCAAATTGTTTCCAAGTAAACTTTAGGTTAAATATTTCAACAACTATTAAAACAAACTTGATTAAATAATACGCTTGGTTTCCCCCTTACATGTAAATTTCAGTCCGTCATTTATAACCAATATCACAAAGCAGATTTAAACTCTCATTTCTTGTATTTTCGTGCTTTTCCATGTGTCTCTGATTGAAAATGCACGAGGCGTGTCTCACATGGCGAAGTTTGATCGTTATTTTGTTGCACAACCTTTTATATTGTTGGTCACTAAATTTCAAGATTCTAGTATTTCGTAAGATGATATCATCTAGTCCACGTAATATTTATTTGAAATTTTTAACTCTTTAATGTACTCTTTAATGTTATTAAATAAAGATTTTTCAGATGAGGTGTGGTCTAGGATAATGTCAGTCTGGCAAGGTAATAATCAGGGGTGGCATGTTATAATATTGGACATTTGGAAATTTGGGTAATTTCTAATTGTCAAGATATTGTAAATTTTTTTTTATTGGACATAAAAAAAAATTTAATTTAAATTAAAATTAATTCGAGCCAGTATTTGCTAATACAAAATATCTCTAATCTATATATTATTATTTTTTTGCCAGGCTTCGTGCTTTTTAAGCTGACAATTAGAATATAAAAATCGAATCCATAATATAATATACAGTAATATGTATATGCTTCGAAACAGCATCACGAACTTTTTTTTATAAAATTACTAGATAAGAAACATATAAACTATATGACTGTCTTTATATGGAATTAAATAAATTGACAAACGCCATTATTGGAGTTAAAGGTGATAAAGCTTTTACAGTCATAATATTAAATTTGTCCAGTAAAATTATTGAACAATTGGACATTGTCAAATTGACAAATTGGTCCAATTAAATTTATTTGGACATTGTCCAAATGTCCAAACGTCCGATTAATTAAATTTATTTGGACATTGTCCAAATGCCAACCCTGGTAATACAGTAATAATGTAAATAATAATTACTTATTTTTTTTACCAAGCTCCTACGCTCGGTTCTGGTAGAATTCGTTAACAATCATTTCACCGATAGCCATTCCGCGACAACCTCTAGCCAACGCTAGATATGTATAAAGTAATCCAACCCAAACTTACATCAAGCTAAATTATGTCGTCGGCTAAATGGTTGTCGACGAAAATTGAGTTAAAATAGAGTTCAATTTGACGCCCATGCACGTCTTTAAACAAACATGCACCCCATATGACTACTTTCCAATTCGGAATTTTATA